ATTATGACATCTGCATGATTTTTCTCAAATATAAACTGGAGTGTGTGGTAACACAACACACTCGGTTACTGCCTCCTCCACCTCTTCTGAAAAACAGCCAGAAAAATAAGAAGTATCACATAGGGGATAACCCGTTTAATGTCATAGAAGCAATTCCTTCAGTGATGGATTCAATCAGCAGTAAACACAGAGATGGTTCCTGCTGTGCAAAGCCTATCCAAAGGTATGGATGTTTCAGGGTTTTCTTGATAGACTGACTATTGTTCTTAGCCTGTACACTGTCTTTTGCCATGCTGTTCATTAGGTAGACTGCCTGATATTCAGTGGCGTGCTGATACGCTTTTCAGTATATGGTGATATACCTGGGAGTCCAACTAATCATTGGAATTGTTTGCCTGTGGAACTGTATAGCATTCAAGTTTTTCAGTGTTTAAATCTACACAGATTGCTCTGGAGATCCCAAAGAATTGGCTGCTGTTTGCACATGTACAGTCAAAATCCCTTTAAAAGAAGTGAGCCTCTGAGTTGGGAACTGCTTTGCCAGGCATGAGATTCCCAAGAAGACAGATCGTCTCACATATTGATACAACATCACAATGCAAATATCATATTGCAGTGTCGGGACAACAAGCAACAAGTGTTTTGTGGCTCTCTCAAAATCCATTTGATGTGATCCATCCCTCCTCTCATTCCTTCTGTCTGTGCACAGAAAATGTGGTTTGTTTCTTCTCTCCTGCTGGATGCTTGGAAAAATAAGAGATGAAGGCTTGAAAAACATGCTGCATACCAGCTACATTAGCTGCCCTCAACAACCACAAATAGCCCTATTATTCTTCCAGAATATTTATATTACAGTAGTGCCTAGAGGCTCCAGATAACAGCAGGGCTGTACAAAACCAGGCTGTGTGCCAGCCACAGTATAAAGGCATGTTAACACACAGCCCGTTCTCTGACTGCAACCTCTCGTATATACCACAGAATTAAAGATGTTTTCCCCTCAAGTGCTCCTGTGAGACAGGGTGGCTCTAGATACCTGCAGGTCCCCCACTGCAGCCAAAATGCTGGCTAATTTTGACATGAGATTAGTGCAAAAAAATTCCAAGTGCCATCTTATAAGTGGGTAAACTGGTATTTATATATAAAACCTTTAAGTTGATTTTACCCACTCATACTCTCACAGATTTCATACACTCATACTCTTTCTTGAAACAGTTTTTTTTATATAGATGTGTATGTTTTGCAGAAGCAGGCTTTTTTGATAATTAACTCAGGTGATGTTGGAAGCGGACATGTGTTTACAATATCTGCTAAAATTATTACGCATCTCAAGCTAAGGTATTAGCAAGAAATTAGGGGGGTTTCTGCAGCTGTGAAGATCATGTATACAAGTGGGGATGACTTGTACTAGCAAACCCAGCTCTCAACATCAGCAGTTTGAAGAATTTCTTCATGTGACAGAGCAAGAATCAGGAATGCAAAGTGCATCATTGCTGAAATGTTACAAGAAAGGCTACTCACTTCAGCTGATACATCATCCTTTTATGAGAAAAAAACCATGTCAACTGAAGAGCAGCTCACATTGCATTCCTCATAAGGTACCCTGTAGGAGTAACAACCTCTTAGCATACTGCAGGGGCTAAAGGTCTCAGGATCAGATGAACAAGGTCAATGTTAATTAATGCCTTAACTAATCACACAGTAAGTGCTTCCAGCCACAGACAGCCTACAATATTGACTTAATCTGCCATATGCATGGCCTGGAGGTACTGTGATTGCAGTAATTTTCCAAAAGTATATGTGTATATATATTTGTGCATGTAATAGTGAACTCAGTATTAAACTTCCAGGAAATCAGGTGTGCTTTTTAGGACCAATGCTCAGTGCTGGGTACCAGCATTTAATCAGTTTATACAGACAAGCTAAGTGGCCCCAGCTTCCCAACTTTGCATTTTGCTGCCTGGTCAGTGCTTAATCAAGTGCAGCATTGCAACAAGCTGGCACTCAAAAGGAGTGACCAGTGGTTTGCTACTGGGTACACAGAAAGCTGCATCCATAACTCAAAGCCTTTCTCTTGCTGGACAGTGTGTGGGCCAGAGGTATAGGAACAGAATTAGTAGAAGTGCTGGGACAAGACCAACAGAGCAAAACCAAAACCCCAAAACAAACAGTAAAAAGAAGTGAGGATGCAAAGAAGAACAAGAAAAGTGAAACCCTTTCACCTCCAAGTCATAAACATCTCTTTTGATCTCTGTATCTCCTATTTCTGATCTGACAAGTATTACAAATGCCAAGCCCACACCCCACTTCCCTCCAGTGATTAATGCACTACGGTCTTTCTGAAAGCTTAAAGAGCTCTCCCTCTGGGCCACAACATTTGATAAAGAAATGAAGCCTGGCGATTAATAATTCCCCTGGCTGAGTTTTTGTTTAATAACTATTCTGTCAGTGATAGATCTAAAGGGCGAGGGTGTGGATGTGCGTGCATGCGGAGGGAGTAATTTGATTGTGGCCAGGAGATCTGGCAGGCTGGCATTACAAAGCAGCTCTTTAGCAATGGCTGGAAAACCAGCATGACAAATCACTCGTTCTCTGCTTCCCCAGCCTACCCCCTCTCCAGCAGAGCTATCTCATTAGGCTCAAGCCAGCCAATCCAAGCCTATGATTTGGGAAATATTTCCTTTTTGACATTCAAGAGAACAATTCCTTACCCAGGGAAAATTACATTTAAAAATAAATGGAAAAGCATCAATCAGCTAGGAAAATATATTCAGCTTTCTGGATCTCTGCAGAGAAAGTGATTTTTTTTTATTTTATTATATTTAAATAGGACTGAAGGCCATGGTTTGATTTTTTTTAAAACTGAGATAACTAAAGAGATAGCACTGTAACATTTGCATATAAACTGTTACATTTTCTTTATATAGAGACAATCTTTTTCATTAGAGTTAAATCTTGAATATTTATAGACCTGTAGAGATGTACTAGCAGATACCTGTTACTAGAGACAGATATGCTCTATAGTACTAGAAACTGCAAGGCCTATTCTGGAGTGATTTGTATGTGTTTTTTTAAACCAGAAAGCCTGCTGTGTTTCCAGGTGAGCTCTTTAGGAATTCTCAGGCCTCTTTTCAAAATTTTAAAAAAGGTCAAATTAAAATAGGTTACCTTTTAAAGCAGTTGTCTCTGCTGAGCAGGATCTTGCTCATTCTTGATTCCTTAGTCCAGAAAAACATGTCAGCCAAGCCATTAAAGAGTAATTTTTTCCATTTGTAGCAGCTCCAAAATTGGGCCATTCTTTATAACATCTCAACCTATGCGCTGAGCCAAAAGAATAGAACAATCACATTAATGGCAGCTTTCCTGGAGCATCCAGAAATCCTTGCTGAGTTCAGGGATGGATCCTGCACATGTAACACTGTCTCAAGGAGCTGCTATTTACAGCTCTGGGCATCTGCCCTTTCCTAACCATAGCTACTGCTACTCAGGCTTCTACACAGCCATGCATCATCAGTTCCACTGAAAATTACCTCCCTATCAGACAGGCTAAATGGCTGCAACACATTTCACCCAGAAGGAGCTGGGTTGGCTTAGGCAGCTTAAGTTGGTCCTTACTACACCTGCTGACCTGTCACAGATGGAATCAGAAAAATGACAGGAATGGGTCTCAGCAGCCAAGGGTGTTCACCCAACATCATACAGCAGCAGAACCAGGAATAAGCACCAGGGATTCTGGCTCCTAGTCGAGCTTCCATGTTGATAAAGCTCACTACCTTTACAACTCTGACAAAAAATACATTCAGCAAAACCTTCTAATGAGATTCCCCACAAATGTATCTAAGGAGATATTTTCATATTATGAGAGACTATGAATTTTATCCAGGGGGTAAATAACCTAGCAAATTAAATGTCATTGCTAGGCCAGGAAAGAAGAAATTCATTACATCACCTTTTCCTAATGGGACATTATAACTGATCGTGTTTTATTTCTGAGTCCTGCAAGCTCTACCACATCCCATAATTCACTGCAGTGCTGGAATTCAGGCTTTGCCCATATCATTTCATGAAGATGAAGTGCTAGTGCTGCTCTGAATTACATTTCTATTCATTTTGCTCCTTTTTTTAAGTATTTGTTTCCCATACATAAATTGTTACTATTATGTAAAGCTTAGCTAAGGCACCTTGCTGACAATTTTTCCTCTCTTTTCCTCTGAATTAATAACAAAATGCAAATCAGTAGCAGTGGGTTTTTTCCTTCCACTTAATACAATGCTCGAATAACAGAGCATTTAAAGATTTACAATACATATTAATGGCATTTAAGCACCCTTCAGAGTAAATGCACCTTTAGTTTTCATCTTCTCCTTCTGTATTCACCTTTTCCTGTATTATGCCTGCTCTCTGTACCTCACACACTTTAGAACAAGGCCACCTCATCACATTCTTTCTTCTCTGCCCCTTCCTTTTCAGTTGGCAGCAAAATCTCTCTCACTACTTAAAGAAAAATGACCACTCATTCCTGCTGCCACCCCCCACACTGCAGAGTGAAAGCTCAATATATCTGGTCACCTAGATAAATCCAGGCAGCATTGTCAAGGCTGAATGTCAGGACACAGTCACAAAGGCTGCTGCTCTATTAAATTCTTTAGCTGATAAAACACTGGTGTGGCAGATTTAGTCTGCGCTATTGCAATCCAAACAACTGACTGTTGCTCATAGACGAACAGCAGTTTGTAAGACTGTGCCAGATTTTTTTACCTCCTTTACTCAGTTAAAGCTCTCAGTTGTACATACAGTTTCTGCTTTGTCAGTGTCACTACTTAGTTATTAGTTTTTCTGCAACGGTGAAATGATAGACATCTAAAAACACCCCAAACAATCAAAATTAGACAAAACCCAAACACTTAAAAAAATCAAAATGATTTCCCAAATTATCTACCCCAGATTTTATGTGAAAAGAATTTATTAGAATATATTTTAACAAAATAACATCTTTTCCACCAGCTGCACTTTAGCCTTGTAATAGGAGGATTGTTTTGTGGATATCATGAGTCATGTGAATGAAAACATGTCATCTGCACCACCATCTTCCATCATCTCCCTGGAACAGCCAGATCCACAACACTGTTAACCATTCTTGCTTTTCCAAGAAAATATTCCTTCCTCCCCTGCACCTCTGGTGTTCAAGCAGTTTTGTGGTATCTTTAGAAATTATCACCTCTCCCTAGCTGCTAGCTGTTTGTTATAATGATGATACACACTGATCTCAGCTAGAAAACTGTTGCCAACTTTAGCATCATTTTGTGGATGCATTGGTTTGGATCCATCACCATGCTGACGGATTGTGCAGCTCTGATCCTTCCTAAGCTGTCCTGGAAAAACAAGACCAGAAATAATAGCTTTTCCTTCTTGCTTAAGGCTCACTAAACCCAGAAGCTAGGCTCGCCCATCACCTGCTGAGTGTGCAACACCCAAGAGCCATTTATTGCCTACTCTGAGCCCACAGTACTCAAGAAGGAATCTGAAGAAGTTGTCACACATTTCTCCAAAGCCAGCCCATTTTAAAACATCGCTTATTTAAAACAGGACCTGAATATATGTTTCAGTAAGTCAGAGAAAGGAATATTCCAGCAGGGTCCAGGGAGAGCCAGTCCAGGGCATGCCAGGTACCAGTTGCATTGCTGGAGCGCATTAGCAACTCAGAGTGCCAGAAACTAGCACTGGGTGGCAGGCTAGGACAGCACTTAGTAGTGACTCCCAGCCCTGGTGCATCACTCCTCAGCTCCTTCCTTGTCACCTACGAAAATTCTACAAACCTTTAGTAGGGTGATAGAGCAGGAAAAGCTCATGCACCCAGCACTGGGGAGTGTCTTGCTCTATTAGGTGCTCCTAAGAAACCAGGCAGAGCTCTCCCTCTCCCTGCAGCCAAAGGAGGCTACAGATATTGGCTCCCTCTTTTCTGTGTTTAAACCTGAAACAAAAACAACGCTTTTGAGAGGGAAAAGTGCAACTGGAACTTGTCCAGGCAACTAATCTTGTGGGTGTAATTTTAGAATGGAGCAGTCTGGTAGTCATACATTAATAAGCATATCTTGCTCTGCATCCCTGTGTGATGTAAAAACAACCTGGAAGTCAGCATCTTTCTTCTCCCTGAAAGCTGCCACTAAAACCTTCCCCAGTCATCACTAGTAAAGGCAGGATTAACTTGCAAAGTGATCCCCAGACACAGATCAGCCCTCCTTCGTCTTTAGGAAAAGAAATAAGTCTGTGGGGCATATGTGCAAATGCCTTTGAGACAAAGTCAGCTGATGGGAACAGAGACATTTCTCTTTGCTACAACAAGCTACTGATGCTTCTTGTGCACTATTGCAATCTCTATTGCACTATTTCAACCTTACAATTGCACTACTGCAATCTTCTTCCTATGTGTTTAGGTGCTGTGTTACAGATCAGTTTCCTCCTAGACCTACTACAGTTCACACCAAGCATCTGCAGAACAAACACCCAGGCTCTGTCTGAATGCATAAAATGCTAATCTCATTAGATTTCTCATTTTCAGTCTAATATTGTCACAGTGCTATGCACCACTGCCACAGATTAGCAGGCTTGCCAGAACTGAGCCCCACTAATGAGTTAATCCCACTAACACTCAAATCCCAAATCAGATTTAAAACCATCTAGACAGAGGACCCAGCAAGGATGGCTGATGGGTAGGAAGGGAGAGGATCAGCCTTGTTTTGAGAGAAGTAGTTGTTGGATAACTGAAGGTGGGTATAAGGGACAAGCAAGCATGCATTTTTTGGGTAGGAGAGCCTCAGTCAAACTCCGAGTTACCAGGCATGGGCAATAGCCCAAATGGGCTTGAGAAATAATTTGCAGTAACACATATATCTGTATGGATTGTCAGCTTCTGACTGAGAGACACCTATAAAAATCAGGAGCTAACGAAGCTTCTATTGCCATTATTTAAGCTACAGTGCTTGGAAGGTCTAAGCAGCTTATAGATCTGAGCTGATTCATTGCAGCCAGGAACCTGGAGATGAGAGGAAGGTTTTCACGTATTAGTTTCTTATTCTGCCAGTAACCCAACATGCTGAAGAGATGCACAGAGGCTCAAAGGAAAGTCACTGAGGGAAACACACATCTCTTATTGTTTGCATTCCAAATAGGCTCTTAAAATGCAGCTTGAAGGGTAGAGCTGGCAGGGACCTCTTTTTTTCCCCTTATCCTTTTAGACGAATTTGCTCTTTTAGTGGGAAAGTACTGGATTACTGAAGCTGAAAATTTTCACGGGTACATACTGGCCACATTAGGCCTCTAGTAAGATATAGTTCCACCTTAGGTTTGGGAGAATCTGGCCAGAGCCCAAAGTACCACCTCAGAACAGCCTGGCCAGCAGAGTACTCTCCCAGAACAGGGGAAACCAAGGACACAACAGGGTTGCTCACACTTCCAACAGGTGCCTAAAGACTAGCTCTTCAGAGTGATACTTTCACTTCTCTTTAATATTTTCCATAAAATACCTCTTGAAAGGCCTCAGCTTTGCTTCATGGAGAACAAAACGTTTTTTGCAATGTTGGTGTATTTCCCTGGACAAAAACATCATTTCCTGTCCAACAATTTACCCAGAGTTAATTGTGCCCAAAGAGTGCCCAGAAAACAAGATGGTTTGCCAGTGCACTTATTTCCTCCTTGTGGATCCATTCCTGTATATTGTACTCAGGAAAGTAGTCTGCAAAGCCTGCAGTAGGATTTTGGGGTTTTTTTGCCAGTGGTAAATAATAACTCTTGTATCCTTCAATGGAAATCCAAGAGCTTAGCACCAGGACCACACAGTTGCAGAGAAGTGAACTGCATTTTATGCTGTTGTGCACCATCATTTGAGTATTGATGGATAGAGTTAGAAAGAAGAAGGTTTGCCAGTAAATGGAGTCAATTTGTTATGGATCTCTCTCTCTCTCTCGGAACTTTCATGGAACAAGCACTGTGTTAAGAAAACCTTTCTTCCCAGAAACCATGCTTCTCACCACATTTCTTATTGTTGCACCTTTTAACTCTTCTGTCAAGCCCACTGGTCTGAGCAAGAATCCAGAGAACTCAATGTGAATCTGTCTGTTGATTTCACAGCATCTTGATTGAGGCTTTAAACTGCTTTTCATGCAAATAGGATAGCTTGACTATGTCCCTTTCCACCTCTCACTAGACAAACAGGTAAGTAGTAAGCAGTGCATTTAAGAAAGAGGGTCCATTTTTGTTTATTGTGTTGTAACTCCCTGTTAATAAAGCATGCCAATATGCTGCCAATTTTTAATCAGAAGATAAATTTTCCAGGTCCTTCACATCCTTTTGAGTGATCCCAAATAGATCCCAGTGTAAAGGGTGTGAAATAGCCAAACTTTCCAAATGTAGCGAAGCTGCCAGGAACATGTTTTTTGTGAGTACAGATCCCACCCCTTCCAGAGACAACTGCCCACAACAATCTCCTGCTCCATACTAACAAGGTACTGATAACAATAGTAATCACAGTTTGCCTGCTCAGCTCACCCCAGGAGCATGGTAGCAAATTGATGATCATTTCTCATTGTGAATTATGACACAGGCACATCACCTCACCCCTGGAATAAAGCAGCACCTGCCAATCCCGTTAAAACAGCAAGGGGAAAAATGAAAGCCCTGCCGTAGCCAATCTGATTCCCTGCTGACTCTAATTACCCAGACGGGAATTTACAATTGCTTCCTCCACCAACTCCTGCTCTGCAGTCTGCAGACTTTGGCTAGTTCTTTCTTTTGTATGCCTACTGCCACTGAGTAGATTGAGTTCCTAATGAGTCTTGACACTAATGGTACAAGGAGACAGCACAATTACATATCCCTCTCCCATTCAGAGCAAACCTGGCAGGAAATGACCTGAGACCTCACACCCTTCTACCCCAAAGAATCCAGTTATAATGCCTCAGGAGCAGGGCCAGCTGGTGCACGCTCCCCCCTCCAGCTGCCCTCGCTTCCCGTTTCCACTGTTCAGGTGGCTGGAAACAGTTCTTTATGGCCCCATCCATGACTGGTGTATTGAGGCTAATACAGAAGTCAGAGAAGCTAAAGTATGTTTCAAACTGAAGCCAATGAAGAAAGGAAAGGAAAAAAAAACACACAACCAACATTATTTCACACATGTGCTGGAGAGCTCTAACACACAGTTGTTGTGTATTATGTGTTTAACAATGTGTGTAACTCAGACTGCTTTAAAGTAGGAAGGGAAGACATGTGCTTCTATTATTTCCATGTTGATTGTTTTCCAGGTGTAAAAGAGACTGGAGGTACCTATTGAACTGTGAGCTAATTACAAGAAAAAAAAAAAGATGCTGTCTGCTAATGAGGATGCAGATCCATGAGAAGCATCTTAGCTGGCGAGGAATAAATGTCTTCCACTCCTTGAGTGAGCAGCAGTCTACAAAAGATGTCTTCTGCCTATAGCCCATGTTGCCACATCATCTGAGCAAGTCAATAGTATGTTTGCCTCTGTCAAAAGCCTTGCAAAAGAAAGCACTAGCCCCAGAATGCAGGTGGGAAGACGAGACAGAGGACCGAGGACATACGCAGAGTCTGATCAAAGGACAAAATGGGCCCAAATCAGCTTATTCCAACTTCAGTGCTTTATATATAAATACCATTTGCCTCATGCTAGTAACTCTGAACCCAGAATTTCATGTATCAATCTTTCACTGCTTTACTATGATAGCATAATCTACTTCTATTAACCTCACTATTCCTTCTTCCCCTCAGGGGCCTGCAAGTCTTTTGCCTCACAGCTGTTTATCATTATGTATGGGACATTTTTCTCAGCCCTCAAAGAGTCCATCTGGCCTTCAAGGTTCTTTCTCTTCCTTTTCACACCCAGGTAGAAAGGAGCTGCTATAGTTTGCAGCTGCTCAGCAACCTCTGTCTTGTTCCCCTCCCCAGCATGTACTTTCTCTCCTGGACAGCATTATCTGTAGTACTCTAGGTCTGCCATCAGTATGAGTGAAATCTTTAACTGCAATGCTTATGGACTATTACATTTTAACACCAAGGGAAAAGATTGGAAAATTACCTCCAGTCCAAATCCACTGGCAGCAGTTACAGCATGGACTATTTCAAGGTTCACTTCTACACTTCTCATCTTCTTCTACTCTGAAACTGGGTCTTAAATGTATATAATTTTAAGAGAACAGCTAATTTTAATCCCACTCATTGCTCTTTTCCTTATTGACAGAGGTGCTCTGAACCACATCGTATCCTGAGAAGTTTTGAGGAACAATTTATGCAGAGAAAGCATCACAATTATGCAGGTGTTGCTATTCTACAACTGCACAAAACATTCCATCCTTGCAAAACATGAAAAATGATCAGTAATTTCAAGTGGCTCATGGAACTCCTAATGGAGTTTTTTCTATTTACTTTCCTCTCCAGTTTTAAAGTATTATTTATTGTAGTATTCAATTAAGAACAAGGATTTGCTATAGCAACCACAGCAGTGAGAGGTACTATACATACAGAGTCTCTGAAATACAAGCTTTTAAGCACCTTCTTAGCAACACTTTTTAATAAACATATGGCATAGGAGAGTACTATGTATTTTATAAGGAGTTACTTGCACAGGAAGTCAAGTTTGCAGAAACAGTATTGCTTAAGGTCTTCCCCCTCCTCCGTGATTCTAACATCCTAAAATTAGCACACTTGTTAGCAGATAACATCACTAATAAAAATACAAAGACATCATCTTCGGACAAGGACTACAAAGATCTGTCATATGGCAGCTTTTCTCTCTGCCACTATGTGGCAGCAAAAGTTGCTTGTGATTCACTGCATCAGTATCTTCACAGGCATTCCAGATGTGACCTTGCCACCCTCATTCTGGGGACCCTCTCTCATTCAGCATCTGCCAGCTGTCAGCATGGGACTCCAGGGAAAATTATAGAATATTTCTGGAAAATTACAAGGGGCAGCATAAGGCCGGATTTTATTTGTTTCCGTTTTCCCTGTATAAGGGAGTTCAGATATCTGCAGTTTGCCAGCTTCCTGACTTTCTTTCACCTGGGTGTCTCTCCATTTTTCTGTAGTCTTCCACTTCACTGCTTTAGTTTTTCTTGTGTCACTCCATTTCACACACTTCCTCCTCCCACAATGTCGTTTGCCTGCTCAAATCCATTCCACAAGAACGGAAGACCAACAAAGAATCCTCTCCCTTTCTAATGTGGAGACTGGGTGTTATTTAGATGTATCAATGAGTATTGATCATTATCTTCATTGACAAGTTTTCCTTCCTTAATTGGCAGTTCCTTTACAAGGCACCTTCCAGGCCCAGCAAAGCTGCAAATGGATGTGCCCTGGGAAAACCCACAATTAACAACTGTGGTTAACCACAAACAGATAAAACCATTTTAAACATGCCTGTCTTTGTCTAGACTAGATGCTAAGTGGTGTTTGAAGTATACTCACTTTAGATGCTATGAGTAATTCTGTTTTCATATTCCCACCTGCTTCCCCTACTGGTTCTGAACATCATACCAAATATATTCATGGTTCATGTGCATTTAGTATTCAGGATTCTCACTCTTTCATCGATTGAGGTAACATTGAATTCAAGCTGGCAGTGTTCCACACTGCAGGACAGAAGTACTGATCACTGCATCCTCATTTTTTATCTCATGGCTCACATTTTTAGCTTCTGTACTCTGTTGAATTTTCCACTTCCTTCATAAAATCCAGCTGCTGGCATGGTCAGGTAAACACTTCACTAGAGGGTAGCTATGCTGGTGCAGCAGCTGAAGCAGCTATTTTGTGTGTATTATTTGTGAAATGTGTTGGAGTTCAGACAGCTATATGCACATAAAGTTCTTTCCACAAAGCTATCTGCAAACATGGTCAAAACTACATTCTGCCGTGAATTTAGGGAAGTGTGGTAGATTTATATAAAAGCCAAATACTCCTTTAGATAGGAGCTCCAGGTTTGTATCATTACCTAGGCTATGGGTGTAGAAAGCATCTGAGCACATGTATGCAAGGACCTGATTGCCTGGAACATGGGGCTGCTGATTACAACTGTTATTTCAAGACAGCTTAAGGGAAATGCAGATGCACACCCAATGCCTGGCAGAAAGAAACAGCTCTGAACAGTATGGTAGGTTGATCCACCCCTCATCCCACCACAATTGGAACAGAAATTCCCCAGAATCATTGCACGCTCTAGTGATGTTCAGTCCATGTTTTGCCCATTACCTCTCCCAATTACTATCCTTATTTCAAAATCCTCATGCCCCATGTTGTGCAGAACACCATGGTTTAACCCCAGCCAGCATCTAAGCCCCACACAGCGCTTGCTCACTCCTCCCCAGTGTGATGGGGGAGAGAATCAGAAGAATAACAATGAGAAAACTCATGGGTTAAGATAAAGACAATTTAACAGCTAAAGCAAAACAAGAAATTCATTCACCACTTCCCCCAGCAGGTGGGTGTTCAGCCACCTCAAGGAAAGCCGGGCTTCATCACACGTAAAAATTACTTGAGAAGACAAATGCCATCACTCCAAATGTCCCTCCCTTCCTTCTTCTTCCAACTGCTTTATACACTGAGCATGACAACATATAGTATGGAATATACCTTGGGTCAGATGGGGTCAGCTGTCCTGGTTGTGTCGCCTCCCAACAACTCGTGCCTCTCAGTCTCCTCGTTGGTGGAGTGGTGTGAGAGGCAGAAAAGGCCTTGATGCTGCATAAGCACTGCTCAGCAATAACTAAAATATCCTTGTGTTATCAACAGTTTCCAGCACTTCCAGCACAAATACAAAACACAGCCCTATACTAGCTACTGTGAAGAAAATTAACTCTATCCCAACCAATACCAGCACAAGCACTCACGCAATTGCAGCTGGAGAAATAGAACCTCTATAAAGTATCAAACTGCTCATTAACTTCTGCTGCCAAGGTTAACACGTGTATTTTAGCCCTGTAACATATGCACTATAAAACCCCCTTTATCCTGCTGTAGGACCCAAATCAGTCCCTGCTTAGACTGTTTTCAATCTTCTTTAAAAAGCCATGGACAATTTTAAGTGAAATGATGTTGCACAAATTGTTTTAATTAAAAGAACCCTATTTTCTCCTTGACTAGAATCATACCCCAGGTAGCAACCACACTGATAAGAAAATCAACAGGTGGCCTGTTTGCCAATTACCTGAACATCACAGCTGCTTTATTCAGCACATTGTCAGTAGGAGATGGTTACATTCACCCAGGCTTTTATAGCCCAATTTATTCATGACACTCTTAATCCATTAGCTAGAAATTTCAGTGAATCACTTCAAAAAGATGTTAAGACAAGTTACACTCTTTGGTAGGCCAATGCCAAACAAGAAACATAGCCAGGGTCTCATTCATTAAAAATGGTGCTAATCAGCTCCAGCACATCCATTGGTTTTCTACCCTGGAAGGCATAATTTTGTGCTGATACTTTCCCAAGTCCCACATTGCTATATGTTTTGAATATTTTGTCCAGTATGGCCTGATTATTGCTAAGCGGGAAACCACTGCCAGCAAATTTCATGCAGGCTGGATTTAATCTCAGAAAAGAGTGGAGTATTAATGTTACCAAAGGCCTTCTACTGTGCCACCCTTCAGCTCAAACTATTTATCAAGCCACAGGCAGGCTTGGTACCCATGCTAAGCTCCTTGTTGCTCCTATCACCAAGAAAACTCTTCATCATAAATCCAAAGCTCTGCTTCCTTAGCTGGGAGCTGTTCATTCCCTGTACACTATGACTGAAAATCCCCCAGACTTAAACCCCCAAACAGACTCATTGCAGTGAGTGAACACCTGAACTCCCTCTATAATAGCATCCCTAGGCCCTTGATACTCCATTTTCAGGTACCCCCTCTTGCACCTTAGAGTACTCCAGTGCATTACTACAGGACCAGCTCCACAGAAAATGTAGCTTTAAGTTGCTTTTTATACAGGAGAAAAAGAAAAGATTTTCTCAGTGTTCAAAGCACTGACACAGGCTGGGGAAGCTCTGTATTCAGCTTCCTT